CATCAGGCAACAGTAATGAGACCACCCGGAAGATGCCAGTAGGAGGAGGGAGTGGGGAAAATTTCAAGAGGCTGACAGAGAAGGAGATGCAGGATAAGAGGACAAAGGGGTTGTGCTTCAGATGTGATGAGAAGTACATGTCAGGGCATAGGTGCAAGGACCAAACTTTTCATGTTCTCCTTGTCTGTGAAGACGAGGAAGACGAGGAGGGAGGTGGGAGCAGATCTGGAGAGGAGGAGAAGTTGCACTTGGATGTGGCAGAAGTTTCTCTAAACTCAGTAGTGGGATTCACTCCGAGTCACACTATGAAAGTGAAAGGAGATATAGCTGACCGTAAGGTGGTTGTCCTATTTGATAGTGGGGTTACCCACAATTTTATTTCCACTCAGGTTGTCAACCGACTGCGAGTGAAATTGGTGGACACCGGTTGTTATGGGGTGATGATGGGTACAGGGAAGGTGGAGAAAGGCCAGGGAATCTGTAAGGGTGTGGTGTTGACCATCCAGGGGATTCAAGTAAAGGAGGACTTTCTCCCACTAGAGTTAGGAAGCACTGATGTCATCCTGGGGATGAAGTGGTTGCAAACCTTGGGGGAAACCAAGGACAATTGGGGAGCACTTACGATGGAATTAATGGTGGATGGGAGAAAGGTGGTTATAAGGGGAGATGCAGGGCTATCCAAAGCCATGACATCACTTAAGACCATGGTCAGAGATATGCAAGAGGTGGGGAAAGACTATCTGGTGAGACTACACAAGCTGAATGTGATCAGGATGGAGGAGGGAGGGGATGTTTCTCTTTCCATGCAACCCTTAGTTCAGCAATACAGTGAGGATTTTCAGTCACCTCAAGGATGGCCACCTCCGCGGGAACACGAGCATATTTCCACCTTGAGGACAAGGTGGATATTTGGGAGGGGAGTATTGTTAGACCGGTCCACTGGACCGGTCCAGGCGGGACTGGTTCACGGGCGAAAATCGCAAACAGGCGGAGAACGAGCGGCCCGTCCGCCCCCGTAGAGCTGTTTAGGAAGTTTTTTTGAGCATTTTGAGAGGGAAATTTGAACGTAGGGACTGTTTAGGAAATTCCTTTTGATTTGTATGCATTAAATAGTTGATTTGGCTAGGGTTTGAGTATCTTGAATTTGAGATCTCTTAGATTTAGGTTTTCTTTGGGCTCTAGCAGCGTCTAGAGATTTGGGAGAGATTGATCCTCCTCTCGAATTGAGGATCAATTGCATCTTTGCTTTTTTCTTCTTCTACTAGTGGAATACAAATCTTGCTTTGAGTTTTCTTTCCAATTTCCTCTGAAATTCTGCTGTAAACTGCTGTAAACAGCAGATTTGCAGTGTTTTTCTGCTGTGGACAGCAGTTTCCATCGGATCTACTTCAATTTTGGTGAGAAACACTTGGGAATCCAAGTGTTTCCTATCAATGTAAGCCCTAACTCAATTAAAAATGGGCATTCTAATGGATGTAAAATCCTTAATCAAATTCAAGCTTCACAACATAACCCTTAACTTGAGTTTAATTCATGCCAAGTCCTATGCTTACAAGCTCACCAAATTAATTAAACATCAAAGTAACAATAAATTGAGATTTATATAATCACCTCGGCCTACCCTAGATCCCTCAAAGAAGACAACCAATGACTACAGATCAGATTCTCTGGACGTCATGGTTTGTAGTCCTTTAAAGTTGGTAGATTGCGATCACTATTATTCTCGAGATGAACGAATAATAAGATCTTGATAGGATCTACCTCCATCCCTCATAAATATTTTCCTAAGAGAATAGTTTCTTTAATGCTACAATCATTTTCAATGTTCTAGTCATTATCGTGCATGATGTTGCCATCCTGCGTGATGCCACAATCAAATTCATTGTTGAAATCATTGTTTATAATGCATTCATTCGGTATTCATTTAATCATTGATTAATAAAATTAATTCCCAATTATTCTAACAAATATATTATAATTAGTTAGTCATTAACAGCTAAGTTGGGTCATAAACATAAGTTGGGTGTATCTAATACAATTTAATGGAGTGTGCCAAAACCTTAGAAGAGTGAAAAAGTATTATACCAATAATAAGATGATGTTGATGACATCTATTGAAAATAAAATAGAAAAAATAAGATTTAGGTATTTTGAGTGTTTTTATGAAAGAGAAGAAGATGCATTAATAAGGAAGATAAACAATGAGAAGCAATCGAAATAGAAAAGTAGGGTGATCTCATTCAGCAAGGATAATAATTATGTCTCGAAAAAATTTGTGAAAAAAATTTTGTGCACATTAAAGTTAACAACTCATGTAGCACTCAATATAAATGACCTGAGACAGACAAGGATAATCACAAATAGTTAGGTAAGGATAATAATGATGATGAAGATCAGACATACATTCACAATACAAGTTAAGAGTTAATAGAATGAACTTATTCACAAAGTTTAAATTTTTCAAACCTGCATCACTTGAAACGACATGCATTCTGTAGCCATCCGGTACATCAAACACATGATTACCCTGTAGTTAAGAAGAAAAAAGCAAAGATGTCACCGCAAAAGTTAATCCAATAGAATTAAACATGAAAAGTTCTTACCTCCAAGACAACATTGGTTGCCTCAAATTCAGCATTACCGTGTAGCTGAACCTTAAGCATCTCAATCCGCTTAATATCCAGGCTCCAATAGACATTTTTTGCACACAACCAATCGACCCCTCTATTCAAAATCTTAACATTTTCTAATTTACATCTCCCACATCTTGGAAAAGGGTTTAGTAAAAAAGATCAGTATCTTCAAAGTGCGAAAGAGTAGAATCTATAAATAAGTATGACATCATGCCAACCTGTGCCCATAATGCAATATCGGCTCGCCATGCTCGTTTCTAGTTGAACCCATAACGTTTTCAGCAACTATAAGAAAGCTTCCATTAAGCTGAAATTATAAAGTATTATGTAGATGAAGGGCAGCATAAGAGTTAAAATAAACATGACATCGTGCAGCAATAAACACCTGAACATTTCTCCACGAGAACTCTGCCACCTCTACCTGCAATTCAGAACCTTCAGAAATAGAGCCGCCGTAGAACTGCACAAAATTAAAAACATCAGGCTACAAGGAAAAAGAAGATATGAAATAAAAAAAAAAGTCATAATATGCCACTAAATAGTTGGAATAAGCCTACACTAAACAGTTTAGAATGCCTACAATATTTGTTCATCTTTCAACTTATTTTAAGCTCTCTTGTTTCAAAATTTTCTAACAACTGTTCCAATCTTATCACACGGAAAAATATAATCCTCATCATGTAGCAAAAAGCATTGTTCTCTCAAAAGGCAAAATATCCCCTTCAACCTCTTAAACTTGAACAGAAATAAGTTAAAAACATATAAAACATCCCTCTGACCTTCACATTCCAAACAAAATATTCGAGGACATGAAAAGAAAAATATCAAAGGCTCAAAAAAAAAAAAAGTCTAGCCTTTGTATATATGATTATTGCATTATAAAATGTTGTAGTTTGTTGACATGCTTTTTCTGAAAATCTAAACATTTTCTTCAACCCCTTCAATCTAAAAGCTACTTAATTGAGTTCTAAAATCAGGAGCAAAAATAAAAACCAACCAGAAATACTGAAGAAGATAGCATGTTTTCTCTCAATATCATTTTTGGCTGCACGTAATATTGCTCATAATAAAACCCAAAAAGAACCATCTGATCAAATAGAAAATTTTGGGGGAAAAAAAACGATGAAACTATTTAAACAAAAATATATAGGGAATAAATACAAAAAACATAAAAATAGCTATGATTAGTAGGAGCCAATTCCCAAGTAATTGAGACCTCAAAAGAGCACATACATCTCAATTCGAAAGTCAAGAGAAGCCACAGAAATATTCATAGTGGTGGTAGCTTTCTAGGCATGAACACATGTGTATTACTAAAAGTTTAAACTTAATTAACAATTAGAAGACAATGCTTTTGAAATTTCATGTCTAGTGATCCTATCAAGAAGAGGATATCTTTGTAAAATAATAGCTAGCATCTAAAACACTGCAAAACTTGAACTCTCAAAATCAGGCACTAGCGTACACATACATATTTGTATCCAGCTATTTAATTGACCAGTATTATAAACCTTGCAAGAAAAAGGCAGAGTAAATAGCTCAAAGTATACATGCTAATGGTTGCATTACAATCAATAGAAAGTCCAAGATAACGCTAGAAAGAATGCATCAGTTTCCATACCTTTTGTCTGGTAACTTCCCAAAGAGGACCTAACGCAGGATGGAGAAGAATGATGAAAGGCGGCCCAGAATGGAGATATCTGCTGTTGTCAGCAATCTATTACATTAATCAAAGAAATCTGTTAAATTGCTGGTAAAATATAGCAAAAAAAGATAAAAAAAGCATGATATTATTAAAAAATTAAGGAATTCAAAATTGAATAGAAAAGAGGGTGGGCCTGGAGGTTGACTCCCATTTATTTTGAAGGCCCGAGGATCGCGTCATGGAAACAGCCTCCCCAAAGTTCAGAAGTTAGGCTGCATGCAATAACCCTCCCCATACCTTACTTTAATGGGGTTTCATCTCTGATGCACCAACACTCCTTCATAAGAGGGAATATATTGTTAGACACGTGTCAGACACGGTTGAGACACATGTCAGGCATGACAGAATCGTGTAAGATTAATATATTAATTAAATTAAAATGAATACGCATATCCAACACACGTGCCCTAATATTTAATGATTAAATTTTTTAGTATCTTTTACATTCACAATATATTTTTAGTTGTATTTTGATGTGGAACCTTCCTCTCAAGTTATGCTGCAGGAGTATCACACCTAGAGCATTATCTCTTTCATTTGGTTAGCACTCTTTTAGTTATGCTTCCCC